CCCGCTCCCCCCCCCGCCTCTCTTCCTCGCGCCAGGTGCTGCTGTGGTAGACCCCCTCCCCCCTCAGGGTGCCGCTCCCTCAGGTGTGTCCCAGGTAGACCCGGTTGAGCCTGTCGAGGTAGCTGTCGACTCTCGTCCTGCCAGGGGTGCTGAGCCTGAGCGTGCGGAGCCTGGGGTTGCGGAGTCTGGGGGTGCTGAGCCTGGGGGTGCGGGGTCCAGGGGTGCGGAGCCTGCGGGTGCTGAGTCTGGGGGTGCTGAGCCTGGGGGTGCGGAGCCTGTGGGTGCTGAGTCTGGAGGTGCTGAGCCTGGGGGTGCTGAGCCTGGGAGTGCTACGTCTGAGAGTACTGAGCCTGAGCGTGCTGCACCTGGGGGAGGCCTCTCCTCGCAGCAGCTGCGTGAGTGGTACTTACAGTACTGCAGCCTCAGGAGAGGTGCTTCTGGAGCTCGGAGTGGTGCCGGAGCTGGTGCTAGTGCTTCCCCTCCTAGGCGGGAGCTGCCCTCTCCCCAGCAGCTCCGAGAGTGGTACGCTAGGCGCTGCAGTCTCCGGAGTGGCGCTCCCGGTGTCGTGGACTCTGGAGCTTCTGGAGTTACTGGAGGTGCTGCTGCTGCTGGCGGTGCGGCTGGCGCTGCTAGAGGTGCTACTAGTGCTGCTGGAGCTGCTGGAGGTACTGCTGCTGCTGGAGGTGCTGCTGGCGCTGCTGGAGGTACTACTGGTTCTGGTGCTGCTGGAGCTGCTGGAGGTGCTGCTGCTGCTGGCGGTGCGGCTGGCGCTGCTGGAGGTGCTGCTGGTGCTGCTGGCGCTGCTGGAGGTGCTACTGGTGCTGGAGCTACTGGAGCTGCTGCTGGTACTGCTGCTGCTGGCGGTGCTGCTGGCGCTGCTGGAGGTGCTGCTGGTACTGGTGCTGCTGGAGCTGCTGGAGGTGCTGCTGCTGCTGGTGGTGCTGCTGGCACTGCTGGAGGTGCTGCTGGTACTGGAGCTGCTGGGGACCCTGCTGCTGCTGGCGGTGCTGCTGGAGCTGCTGGGACTGGCCCTGCTGAGGGGGTTGGAGCTGGAGGTGCTGAGCGGCCACGGCCGTACTACGTTCCGCTCCTTCAGCAGGTTCTTGGCCTTCCGCCCTCTCCTGGTCCTACTCCTCCCCTACTGAGTCCACCGCTTGTCCAGTCGCAGTCACAGTTACAGCCAGTCTCTCCACTTCCTGGTCCTTCTCCCTACACTGCGCCGACGGGAGGTCTTACGGAGCGTCGTGAGCCTGCGTCTCGTCCTCCGTCGCCTGAGACTCGTCCAGAGTCGTCTGAGTCGCGTCCAGAGTCGCCTGTCCGCGCTGTCCGCGCTGGTCGTCCTGTTCCACGTCAGCGTCCTCCTCCTGTCCTTGGCACTCACTATATGACCCTGCGTCCCTCTACTGCTCCACAGCGTGTCCCACTGCCGTCTCCACCAGCGTCCTCTCTTCCTGCTCTTGCTGACCCGGAGTCTGACTCTCTTCGTGCTGCCAGTCCTACTGTCACGCGTCTCCTTGCCACTGCTGTCACTGACCCTTCCTTTGAGTCCTCTGCTGCGTCTGCTCTAGTCGCTGAGCTTGTTGACTTTGCTGCTGCCTGTCGTCTAGACTACGCCGCTAGCCTTGTTGCTGAGTCTGAGTCTGAGTCTGTCTGTCCTCCGTCTGTCGGGGGTGAGTGTGCTCTTGGCACGGACGTCCTTGAGGACAGACAGGAGGAGTTTGAGTGCTTTGCCGCTGCTTTGCCTCATCTCGTGTCCATGCTAGTTGCCCCTGAGGGAGACCCGGATGCACCAGACATCCCGACCCCACGCTCCTACGCAGAGGCGATGGAGGGTCCCTACTCCTCTCAGTGGCAGACAGCCATGGACGCAGAGATGGCTTCCTGGAAGTCCAGAGGCACCTACGTCGACGAGGTTCCCCCACCTGGGGCGAACATCGTCAGTGGCATGTGGATTTTCAGGGTGAAGCGGCCGCCGGGTTCTCCGCCTGTCTTCAAGGCGCGTTACGTTGCACGAGGCTTCAGTCAGCGAGAGGGAGTTGACTTCTTCCAGACCTTCTCCCCGACCCCGAAGATGACCACTCTTCGGGTTCTGCTGCACGTCGCTGCTCAGCGTGACTACGAGCTCCACTCTCTTGACTTCAGCACTGCGTTCTTACAGGGCAGCCTGCACGAGGAGATCTGGCTGCGCCGCCCACCTGGCTTCACTGGGTCGTTCCCTCCTGGTACCCAGTGGAGCCTCCGGCGGCCAGTCTACGGTCTCCGCCAGGCACCCCGTGAGTGGCACGACACACTGAGGACTACTCTTGCTGCTCTTGGGTTTGCTCCTTCTACTGCTGACCCGTCGCTGTTTCTACGCACCGACACCACTCTGCCGCCGTTCTACGTTCTTGTTTACGTAGACGACTTGGTCTTTGCTACTGCTGACACTGAGGCACTCGCCCACGTGAAGTCGGAGCTGCAGAAGAGACACACGTGCACAGACCTGGGTGAGCTGACAAGCTATCTTGGCTTGCGGATCACCCGGGACAGAGCACAGCGCACCATCACCTTGACTCAGTCACGCATGGTGCAGCAGGTCCTTCAGCGCTTCCGCTTCACGTACTCCTCGCCTCAGCCCACTCCTCTGCCTACCGGTCACTCGCTCTCAGCTCTGCCTTCGGATGAGTCCGTAGAGCCGAGTGGCCCGTATCCAGAGCTTGTGGGCTGCCTCATGTACCTGATGACCTGCACTCGACCTGACCTGGCATACCCTCTTAGCATCCTAGCACGCTATGTCGCTCCCGGCCGTCACCGGAAGGAGCACATGGATGCCGCTAAGAGGGTGTTGCGCTACTTGTGCAGTACGTCGGGCATGGGGCTCGTGCTTGGAGGTCGGAGCGACGTTGTCCTCACGGGTCACTCAGACGCTTCTTGGGCTGACGACCAGGCTACGCAGCGGTCGTCTCAGGGTTACACCTTCAGCCTTGGCTCTGGTTCAGTTTCTTGGCGTTCTACTCGCTCTTCTTCTGTTCTCAGCTCCAGTTGTGAGGCTGAGATCTACGCCACAGCCATGGCTGCACAGGAGTTACGCTGGCTCACCTACCTGCTGACCGACCTGGGAGAGCGGCCTCGTTCTCCTCCAGTGCTGTACGTTGACAACAAGGCCGCCATTGCCTTGTGTGAGGAGCACAGACTGGAGCACAGGACGAAGCACATCGCTCTGCGCTACTTCCTTGCTCGAGAGCTGCAGCAGCGTGGTCAGCTTCGTCTGCGTTACGTGGCCACTCGGGCCAACACTGCTGATGTGTTCACCAAGGCGCTTCAACCTTGTGACCATCAGCGTTTCTGTACTGTTCTAGACTCTCCCTCACTTGCTCACTTCTTGACTCTGCTTGTACTGTGATCTCTATATATATATACCTGCATGTTTACTCTTGTTAGGTTGTGATCACTGTACCTCTTGTTATATTATCAAACTGCATGTGAACTGGTCTTGTGACCACTTGCTTGTGCTCGGAATTTGTGTGGTTTCCTTGAGATCCACCCTGAGCTTGCTTTGCTTTGCTTTGCTTTGCTTTGACTGGTCTTGTGACCATCTGGTTGTCTCCCACTTAGCCTATGGGGGTGTGTCAAACATTATACATGTTCATATTGTGTAGGCTATAGTGGGTTTAGCCTTAGGGGGTACAACATTGCTAGGGTTTCCTACTTGTATCACCCTGCTGCCTAGTTTCACACATTCTCGTTCAGTTCTACATTCTAACAACCCCCCCACACTGGGAGGCCCAGGACTAAGCACAGCGGCAACGGCCTACATGTGCATACACCGGGAATCGAACCCGAGACCGCTCTGATAACATGTCAGAATCCCAGCCATTAGACCACTGGGATAAAAGGGCTTGTTTCAATAGCGGGTCAGTGCGCCCATAACCCCCCAGGCGAACGCGCCTGTAACCCTCTCCAGGATCAATCGGGCATCCACAGTGCAGATCTACTGACAAAGGTGTGCTGTACAGGCTGGATTCTGTAGAAGGGCTGAGTAGGGAAGTGGGTGGAAATGCAGGAGAGTGTTGGACAAACAAAAGAATATTTCTAAAAGAAAAGGGGATAGCAGAATAGGTGTGCTGGACTTGCATGTTAAACTGCTGCTGCTATAATGTAATGTTTGTTGTCAAACTGCCTAAATGTGTTACAACTTATAATCCTAATCATGACTTAGCCAGAGATCGGCTCAGGGTTGATCGCACGTAGTATTGCAGCGGAAGTAGTGACCTCAAGTCAGAGTGAATGTAAATGACTGCGACGATAATAGCATGCACACATTGAGTTTATATAGAAATACAAAGGAATGCGAAACGACCTAGACTAGCCATGTACTTTAAGGGGTACATTCCCTTATTGCAGCGAATTCAAACCGTGCGGCGCGGGAACCCGTTTCATGTTAGAATATGGAAATAGGAATGGTGAATGACTAGGAACAAGGCAATACAAGTACAACCCTAAAGGGGTTGTACCCCCTATCGCAAGCATCACTATAGCCTATCAGAGTAACATACACATATGTTTGACACACCCCCATAGGCTATGTGAGGGATAGCAAGACCAACAAAGGGTCACAAGACCAGTCAAGAGAAGAAGCAAAGCAATGCAAAGCTCAGGGTGGATCTCAAGATCACCACACATTCTGAGTACAAGCAAGCGGACCACGCTGCTGCAGCTCTCGCGTGAGGAAGTAACGGAGAGCAATGTGCTTCGTTCTGTGCTCAAGTCTCTGGTCCTGACACAAGGCAATCATGGCCTTGTTGTCGACGTTCAGAACTGGAGGAGAACGAGGCCGCTCACCCAAGTTGGTCAGCAGGTAGGTCAGCCAATGGAGCTCCTGTGCAGCCATAGCCCCAGCATAGATCTCGGCCTCACAGCTGGAACTAAGTACAGAAGAAGAGCGAGTGGACCTCCACGAGACAGAACCAGTGCCGAGGCTGAAACTGTACCCCTGTGTCGACCGGTAAGTCGTATGGTCGTCAGCCCAAGAAGCGTCTGAGTGACCGGTGAGAACAACTGAACCCCATCTTCCAAGCACGAGCCCCATGCCCGATGTACTGCACAAGTAACACAATACCCTCTTCGCAGCTTCCCAGTGCACCTTTCGGTGTCTACCGGGAGCCACGTAGCGAGCCAGGAGGCTGAGAGGGTACGTGAGGTCAGGTCGTATGCACGTCATCAGGTACATGAGGCAAACCACAAGCTCTGGGTACGGACCACTCGGCTCTACAAACTCGTCCGAAGGTGGAGCTGAGATCGAGTGGCCGGTAGACAGAGGAGTGGGCTGTGGCGAGGACCACGAGAAGTTGAAGCGCTGAAGGACCTGCTGCACCATGTGTGACTGCGTCAGGGTGATGGTGCGGCGTGCTCTGTCCCGGGTGATCTGCAAGCCAAGATAGCTCCGCAGCTCACCCAGGTCAGTGCAGGTGTGTCTCTCCTGCAGCTCCGCCTTCACTAAGGCCAGAGCCTTAGTGTCAGCAGTAGCAAAAACCAAGTCGTCAATGTACACGAGAACATAGAACGGCGGCAGAGACGTGTGTGTGCACACAAACAACGAAGGGTCAGCAGTCGAGGGAGCGAAGCCAAGAGCCGCAAGTGTAGTCCTCAGTGTGTCGTGCCACTCACGGGGCGCCTGTCGTAGGCCGTAGACTGGTCGCCGTAGACTCCATTGGGAAACGACCCAGTGAAGCCACGTGGGCGGCGCAACCAGATAGCCTCGTGAAGGCTGCCCCGCAGGAAGGCTGTCGAGAAGTCGAGGGAGTGCAGCTTGTAGTCGCGTTGTGCGGCAACGTGCAGTAGGGGAGAAGGTCTGGAAGAAGTCGACCCCCTCACGCTGACTGAAGTCTCGTGCAACGTAATGCGCCTTGAAGGCAGGCGGAGAACCCGGCGGCCGCTTCACCCTGAAAATCCACATGCCATCGACTATGTTTGCCCCAGGTGGGGGAACCTTGCCGACGTAGGTGCCTGTGGACTTCCAGGAAGCCATCTCTGCGTCCATGGCTATCTGCCACTGAGAGGAGTACGGACCCGTGATCGCCTTTGCGTAAGTGCGTGGGGTCGGGATGTCCAGTGCATCCGGGTCTCCCTCAGTGCAAAGTAGCGTGGACGCGAGATGAGGTGCAGCGGCCGCTAGGCACTCCAGCTCAAACTGCCTGTCCTCAAGAACGTCACAGCCAATGGCAAGCTGACCCCCGACATACGGAGGACAGAAAGAGTCAAAAACAAGACTCGCAGCGTAGTCAAGGTGGCACAAAGCAGCAAAGTCAACAGGCTCAGCAACTAAGGCAGACGCAGCAGCAGACTCAAAGGAAGGGCCAGTCACAACCATGGCAAGGAGACGAGTGACAGTCGGACTGGCAGTACTGACAAGGTCAGACTCAGGGTCAGGAACGTGAGGAAGAGAAGACGCAGGAGGAGACAGCTTGACAACACGCTGTGGAACAGAGAAAGGACGAAGTGCCATACGGTGAGTGCCTGGCACAGCTGGAGCACGAGGACGGACAACACGATGACCGCGAACAGGTGTGGAAGGACGAGTCTCAGGCTCACGACGCTCAGAGCAAAACTCAGTCACCTCCGTGTGAGGAGCAGGAGCAGGCAGTGGGGAGCCGAGCAGTAGCTGTGGCTGAGACTGGTCAGTCGGTGGGAACAGCAACGGAGGAGTAGTACCAGCAACCGGAAACTCAGTAGCAGCAGGCGGGAGAATGAGAAGGTGACGAAGCGCAGACTGCTGCGGCTGAGTAGTCGCACCCCCAGAACCTCCAGCTCCAGTAGCAACAGCACCCCCATAACCAGTACCTCCAGCTCCACCACCGGGACTGCCCCAATGGACAGCCCAGTCGCGAAGCTGCTGCGGCGAGAGCGACTCCTGCCGACTAGCACCACCAACTCCAGTACCTCCAGTAGCACCTCTAGTGTCAGCACCGCCAGTACCCCCAACTCGCGGAACAACGGCACTAGCACCTACACGGCCAGCACCTCCAGTACCTCCAGCACGGCCAACTCCAGGAACACTAGCACTAGCACCTCCAGGGCCAGCACCTCCAATACCTCCAGCAACACCGGTGCCTCCAGTACCAGTACCTCCAACACGGCCAACTCCAGGAACACCAGCACTAGCACCTCCAGGGCCAGCACCTCCAGTACCTCCAGCAGCACCTGTGCCTCCAGTACCAGTACCTCCAGCACGGCCAACTCCAGGAACACCAGCACTAGCACCTCCAGGGCCAGCACCTCCAGAAACTGCAGCTCCAGCACGTCCAGCGCCACCACCAGGACTGCCCCAACGGACAGCCCACTCGCGAAGCCGCTCCGGCGAGAGAGGCTCCTGGCGACGTGAGCAAGGACTACCCGCAGCAGCACCCACACCAGCAGCACCTCCAGTACCTCCAGTAGCACCAGTAGTCCCAGCACCTCCAGCTCTAGCAGTACGAGCACGGCTAGCTCCACCACCAGGGCTGCCCCACTGTACAGCCCACTCGCGAAGCCGCTCCGGCGAGAGAGTCTCCTGCCGACGTGCACCAGTGCCACCAGCACTAGCAACCCCAGTACCACCAGTAGCAGAACCTCCAGCTCCAGCAGTCCCAGCACCTCCAGCTCCAGCAGTCCCAGCACCTCCCGCTCGAAGACGGCTAGCTCTACCACCAGGGCTGCCCCACTGGACAGCCCACTCGCGAAGCCGCTCCGGCGAGAGAGCCTCCTGCCGACTCGTACCAGGACCACCAGCACCAGCACCTCCAGTACCTCCTGTACCCAGAGGACACTCAGCACCCCCAGAACCAGCACCCCCAGAGTCCGCACCCCTAGTGGCACCACCTCCTGCAGCACCAGAGTCCACAGCGACAGGCTGCAACGGCGGTGAAGACGGTCGAGGCGGAAACCCAGGAGGGACCGCCAAGCGCGCGGAGCGGCGAGGGGTCACGGTGGCAGCAGGAGTCGGGTCACCCCCCTCAGCTGGGCCAGAGGTGTCAGAGGAGACCTCGACTGGCTCAACCAAGGGAGACAGGTCAACCTGAGACACACCTGAGAGAGCAGGACCCTGCGGGGGGAGTGGGGCTACCGGGGGGGGGGGGTCGGAGACCAGTGTGAAGGCGGGAGGGGCACGGGTGAACAGCAGTGGGGGTGGAGACGGTAGAAGCAGACAGACTCGTCAAAGGTGACGTCCTGGGAGGAGAGAACACGACGAGAACCCGGGTGGTAAAACTGCCAGCCCGGGGCGTCGGTAGGGAAGCCAAGGAAGACGCAGCGAAGAGTGCGGGGAGAGAGCTTCCCCGCGGGGGGGTCGCGAACAAGCGAAAGGGCACCCCAGACCCGAAACGCTAACGCATCACCAACCTCGCCCGTCCACCGCAGAGTGGGAGAGGTCTCCGGGTGGGAGACATGGGGCCAAAGGTTGAGTTGCTCAGCAGCGTATCGGACCGCAAACGACCACAGAAAATGGGGAGCAGCCGCATGGACGATGGAGGTGCGAGCAACCTCCATCACCAAGCCAATGCGGCGCTCTGCAATCCCATTCTGCTGTGGAGAGGCCGGAAGCGTGAACGTCTGGCGGATGCCCTCAGCACCACAGAAGTCCTCGAGGAGGCCGGAGGAAAGCTCTCCACCTCGGTCAGAGTGGAGTTGCAGGACTGGGAGGTCCTGCTGAAACCGAGCACTGAGCTGGCGACGGACAGCACGGATCCAGCGGATCAGGACACTGCGGACCTCCACTTGCTTTGCAAGGGGAAGACCGTGGTGTAGCGTGTGTAGCCGTCTACAACCAGCAAGAAGTAGCGCTCTCCGCCCTGTCCAGGGACTCGGGCTGGACCCCACACGTCCATGTGGAGGGTCTGCAGAGGAGCTGTGGTCGGAGGAAATGAGGAGGAGTGAGGAGCGGCGCGCTGCCGCCCCTCGACTCAGGGAAGGCACGGCTGCGCAAGCGACCTCGGGAGCGGGGGCAGGGACCTGGGAAGCCCAGAGACAAGGAGACGGGAGTGCATGCCACGAAGGCATGGCAAGGAGGGGTGGCCAAGACGGTGGTGCCAGAGGAGTGTCTGGTGCATGAGGAGACGACACGAGCAAGACGCAACGACCTCAATCAACGCAGCTACCTGACCTGAATCAGCTACCAGTGCAGACTCAGTGGTCAGTGTGTACCGGCCAGACCCAGGCCTCCAAGTGAACGTGGCGAGGTGCTCACCAGTGCGCGAGTCCGTACAGATCGCCACTAGCTCGCCTCCAGATTGGGTGACAGTGACCCACTGGTCCTGGAGGACAGAGGTAGCCACAAAGTTCTTAGCGAACGAGGGGAGGTGGAGACCTGTGAGGAGGCCGGAAGGGGCCGCCGGAAAAGGGAGAACATTGGTGCCACGCGCGACTACCGGGCCCCCGGAGGGGTCGGCCAGTGTGACAGGGACAGGGACTATGAGCGGTGTGACTGTGGTGCTGTCGCGGAAGAAGCAACGAGACGCGCCTGAGTCGAGAGTAAAAGTGTGCAAGGCCTCCTCAGGCTCTGCACCTGTGCTAGCTGAGTCAAAAGCACCAAGACTAGCAGCCTCTACCCTAGCAACTCTGGGCACACACGAGTAACAGTCCCCCTCAACACTAGCAGAAGCAGCATACATCGCATACATGCCAGCATGGATCACGTCCCAATCACAAGCAAAGAGATCGATGTCCTTCTTCAGCAAAGCTAACCAGTCAGGAGTCTTCATCTGCTCACCATGCTCCGCACGATACAGGTCGTCGAGGCGAAAGAAGCAGCGAGACTCTGTGTGATAAGTGCGGGTGCAAGCCGTGCCAGGCTGACCTGTGCGACAGATATACCCACAGCGAGCTGGGCCACCCGAGCTGCCACGCCTGACTGCCCACTCATGAAGCTACTGCGGCGAGAGTTGCAGCTGTCCAACTCTAGAGCCGCCTCCAGCACCGGCTGCACCACCAGACGTAGCAGTGCGCGTAGTCAAGCCTCCAGCTCCACCCCCTCCAGTTCCACCCCGAGTGCCACCCCCGCCCCCTCCACCACCCCCACTGCTCCCACCACCCCCTCCACCTCCAGTGCCGCCACCGCCTCCTTCTCCCCCACCACCTCCACCACGACCGCCCCCGCCACTACCACCGCCACCCCCACCTCCCCCACCACCCCCACCCTTGCCCCCCTTGCCCTTGCCGCTCTTGCGCCTCCCAGCAGGAGCAGACGCAGCACCGACCTCCTCGGCACCAAGGAAGTCGACAATAGCAGCAGAGGCAACAGAGGACACGAGCAGGGAGGGGGAGCACCCCTCGAAGACGGAGGGGAGGGGAGTGCCAGGGGAGGCAGCTACATCGAGGGCAGCAGACTTAGCCTCTAAGAGGCGTTTCTCAAACGAGTATATGGTGACTTTGGTGGGGTCGAGAGAGAGGAAGTGATCTCGAACAGCATGAAGCGTGTCAGGGAGGCGAGTCGTGAGAAAGTAGAGGGTGAGATACATGGGGGGCTTGTTCTCAGTCAGAAAGTCGGCATCTAGAGCAGCACGGTAACGGGTCTCAAGAGAGCGCAGGTGCGTGATGAGGACGGCTACAGTGGTAAAGTCGGTGAGCTCAGGAAAGAGGAACTGCAGCGCAAGGCGGCCTATCGTGGTAGAAGACGGGGAGGAATAGCATTTGACTACAGTGTTGTAAAGCGCTTTGGCCGTCTTAAGCTGGCAAAAATGAGTGCGCTGGTCGGGCGGAATATGGTTACGGACAGCAAGGGCCGCAGTGGCGTCACGAGCGGTCTACTGAGAACGAAATTTCTAGTCTGCGGACTCAGTAGGGGTAGCGAGGGACCCGGAGGTATGCTCAAACAGTGAGATATTCTCCCTAGTGACGCTCTTAAGGTACCACTCTAAGTCCTCGAGCCAGTTCTCAAAATCGATCGGGTGCCCCTCAGCGTCAAAGGTGAGCAAAGTAGGAGTAGCCATAGAAGCAATAGCGGCAGTGGCAGCAGCAGCAGCGCTTAGCAGCAGCAGCAGGGCAGTGCTGCTAAGTAAGGGCAGGGCAGCGCGGCTCGGGCAGGGCAGCGCGGCTCGGGCAGGGCGGCGCGGCTCGGCAGGGTGGCGCGGCTCGGGCAAGGCACAGCGCAGCAGCGCAGCAGCGCGTGCAGTAGCAGCAGTGGCAGCAGCGCGCTTAGCAGCAGCAGCAACGCTTAGCAGCAGCAGCAGCGCTTAGCAGCACCTGCAGCGCTTAGCAGCAACAGCAGTGCATGCAGCAGTAGCAGCTGCAGAAGTGACAGCAGCAGCAGCGCGCAGCAGCGCGGACGGGCAAGGAGCAGGCAGGGTACGCGTGGGGTGCGCGCGGGCAGGGCGCAGGCCGGGCGCATGCTGCTGGCGGGCAGCGCGTTTGCGGGGCAGGGCAGCGCGTGGGTGGGCAAAGCGCACTGGCGGGTTCGGCAAAGCGCGTGCGGGCAGCGCGCGGGTGGGCAGCAGGGTGCGCGTGCAAAGCGCGCGGGCAGGCAGGGCGGCACAGCTGCAGGCAGAGCGCGCGCGGGCAGTGTGGCGCTCAGGCAGGGCAGCAGGGCGCACGCGCGGGTAGGGCAGGAAGGGCGCGCAGCCGCAGGGCAGCTGGGCGCGCGCGGGCAGGGCAGTAAGGCGTGCGCTGGCGCTATGTAGTAGGGCAGGAAAAAAAAAATTACAAGTCCGGGCAGGGTGGAACGTTCAGTGGGCCCTAAGGAACGAACCTACTCTAATACCATGTTAGAATATGGAAACAGGAATGGTGAATGACTAGGAACAAGGCAATACAAGTACAACCCAAAAAGGGTTGTACCCCCTATAGCTAGCATTGCTATAGCCTATCAGAGTAACATACACATATGTTTGACATTTCAAACATGTTCCTACTCTTTTCATTTCAAATGTTTCTGCCTGCATC